TCCCCGGCCCTCCTACATGAATGTGAACAAGGACTGTGCTTGTTGGTCTTGTGTCAGGAATGGAATAACTGTGCCTTTTCTGGTTGATGGCCATTGCGGTTGTGGCTCTCCCATGAGCGGTGGATTTTTTCCATTGCCTGAATAGTTTATGTGTGATTTAAGCCCCACATTTGTCCAGGTAGTGTCCCTTGATTTTTATCTTTGAATCTGAATGCACAACAGCTCTTCCACATGAACAGGTAGATGCAGGATGTGTACATACATTCACCATGATGCATGCAGGGCTAGAGTCTCTCTCCCTTTCTCCCCGTCATGTTTTTCTGCTATCAGATTTAAACCAGAAGACCCTTTGGGCAGGGACCTGTGTTTTACGGGTATGTTATATTTTTGTTAAGCTGGTTCTCTTGAAACAATTAGAATATGGCTATGTTATTCTGAGGAAATCTGGCTACATTCCCTGAAGGCCTAAATGTTGGCTTAATGGCGTAACTCTTGAGGAAATGAGATGTGCTCTGCTCAGTGAAAGCCGTCTGACTGAGCGTGGCCTTGATAGCTCAGAGGAGCTATGAATGCTGACAAGAACAAGTGCCCTGAGTCATCCAGCCAATCAGGAGAAAAGACCAGAAAAGAAGACTTCTACAGTTAGTTGGGAGGGTTTCTGGACTCCACGTTAAAAGTGGAAGAAAATACTAGGCTGAACATGGTGCTGGGGGGGGGGTGTCAACAGTGAGAGGGCTTCTAATGTCCTGGCCCCACTGGTGGACCTTCTGATGGCACCTGGTATTTCTGGCCACTGTGTGACACAGAGTGTTGGACTGGATGGAGAGAAAACCAGAGATTATATTACCTGTTCTCACAATTAAAAAAAAATCATTCTTCATAAAATGCATACATAAAATGCCCCCCTATACCATGTCTGCTGGTGGACATTTCGGGTTATACTCCAGCGCCCCTTCAATGTATCAGGCACGTCAGTCACTTAAAAATGTATATGTTTGAAATACAAATATGTGGTTTTAGAACAAGGGTAAGCAACCTTTTCCAGCCATTTACCTGTGAAATGTTGGTGTGCCAGCAAATAAAATAGGAGGGGGAGAGATAAAGATTGTACTTGGCCAGGCACACTTGGAGCAAGCCAAGTTCAAGCACCTCTGCCAACATCTCAGGGTCTCCACTGGTAGCTGTGCAGTGATTTCAGGCATAATCCATCTCTCCCCCTTCCCCGCCACCCCTTTAAAACTGTAGCTTTGCTATTTCTCAGCTGTATTATCTAAGCCTCACTATTTCAGCCAAGTCCTAGGGTTGCCATTTGCCGAGTGGTGGTGGGCAATGTATTACCATTAGTTCCCACTTCCTGCCATCAGCAATTGACCAGCATGAGAAAAAAATGGTGATGCTCTATGATTTCACCTCCAGAGACTATGGGGGTCAATAGAGGATTCCAACCTACCTTAAGAGACTGCCGTGTGCTGCCCGCCTCCACTCACAGTTGGCTCACTAGAGAAGTTAGATGTAGGTTCCTCCTCACCATCCATCAGGCCTGGCTTACCTCTGCTTCCGGAGTCCAGCCACGGCCCTCTCTCTCTGTGTGTGTCCACACATGCATCTCCTTCCCTGTCCACTAGCCAGCATGGCTGATGGTCCAACATCTGAGGAAGGAATTTGAGTCCTGTTTGCCTGCAGCCCTCCTGGGCCCTTGGGCCCTTGCTGCTTCTCCGGTTGCTGCGCAACCTCTAGCTTCCTGGGCCCAAGTAGCACCAGCAGCTACTAACAGCTACAAGGTGTTTGTCCACCAATGCTGCAGCCACTTGCCTGGAGAAAGTGTCCAATCGAGGTTCAGTTCAGTTGTGCACCCAATTCCACACACCAATGGAATAATCTTAGCTTCTATTACAAGTGATGCATTCAGCCTTTTTTTTTTTTTTTTTTTAGCAATGCCTCCTTTTTAGTCACAACTTTGACAGGTTCTTGTCTTCACACTATTTATTTATTCAACTTTTATCCCGCACTTCCGCCGCAGCGGCTCAGAACATTAATAAAACCAACATAGATAAAACATTAATCCATAAAACAGCTTACAGAAGTACAATAAATATAAATAAAAGCGGTTCCGTAAATCATTCCGACTGGTCGGCAGGGCTTGGCTGGCATACCATCGCTCTCACTGGTATGGCTGGGGGAAAAGCTCCGTCTTCACAATCCTTTAGTTTTCCTTATTACTGCAAGATTATCGGTACATGATGTCCAGTGTGGTGTAGTAGTTATTAGTGGCAAACTCTGATATGGAAAACCAGGTTTGATTCCCCACTATTTCACATGAAACCCACTGGGTGACCTGGGGTCAGTCACTTTTCTCAGAACTCTCTCAGCCCCACCTACCTCACAAGCAATGCTCCCTCTAAGCTATGGAATCTATTTTGTGAGATACTGGCATTAAAATTTTGAGGTGATTTGGCTACTGCATAAATTTGTTCAGGAGCCATCCTTCCTGAGCTAAGACAAAAATGTGTGAGCCAGAGGATAAAAAACTGTGAGCTAACTCACACTAACTCAGTTTAGAGGGAACACTGCTCTCAAGGTGCCTATTGTGTGGTGGGGAAGGGGAAGGCAATTGTAAGCCACTGAGACTCCTGAAGGTAGTGAAAAGCAGAGTATAAAAACCTAGTCTTCTTTATTGTGCTTAACAATAAGGATTTCAGTCCCTGTATTATAATAACATTATACCACTGAAATGAAGGTAAAGTATATGGCACCATCTGTTGAGAATAGTCAACAAAGCATATCACTGTAAGAATAGTCTTACTGTATGTGGACTGGAACTGCAGCCCCAGAAGGCTGCCACTATCCCCAGTCCAGTCTCATTAGAGTAGATGGAATCCTTTTTATCTCCTGTGTTCTCACCATGTAGCACACATGCTCAGAACATAAGACCACCTCAGCACCAATTTTAACCATGGGCATGATAAGAAAAGGAGCACACACACACCCCCGATATAACATATTCTTTCAACCCAAAGGTAACAAAAACGGGTATCTGAAGCTAGGACATAATTCCATGTCTTAAATTCAAATACCAGCTCAACCCCACTGGACTGGGCGTGTCATGTTCCCATGCAGAAGTCAGAGGGTCCTGTGTACTCATTGGTGCAGCAAATAGAAGAGTGACTTGTCCACCATGACTTCTTGCACTGTTAAGTTTTTGGATATACTGGATATTTTCCCTTCTTTTTGGATATATTGGATATTTTCCCTTCTTTTTGGATATACTGGATATTTTTCCTTCTTTTTGGATATACTGGATATTTTTCCTTCTTTTTGGATATACTGGATATTTTTCCTTCTTTTTGCTTAGCACATATATGTTCTAGCACACAAGAGTGTATGCCGTAACAAAATTACTAGTCTTAGAGGTGCCCCCAGACACAACTTTTCTTACAAGGCCTAACTACTACTCCTGTTCTTTCCTCCTGGAAAGGATCCCAGCTTAGGGCCAAACTATAAACAACACTGGGGCCATGTATTACAATTCAGAAAGAGGCCCCCCTTTGATGAAGGCTCTGGCACTAAGGCAGGAGTTTAAACTCTTTACAGCTTCTCTGAGAGAAATCTTCCCACCATAATCACAAGCCTTCTATACACTTTCCCTCCCACTGGGCCTAGCAGCAGCTGTCTGGGGAATATGACAGATTTGCCTCATGGCAAGGAGCTACCCCTCCGTCTCACCACTGTGGTTCCAATCCAAATCAGCTCCCCTCCGGCTGCTGTTTGAGCTTAGTCGGGGGAAGACTCTCCTTGTGTGACTCAGCAATCCCCTCCCAGCAGTCAGCTGGAAAAGAGTCATAGTACTATACATTTATAAAGAACTTTAGTCATCACAGAATCCATAAAAGCACACTGAATACAGAAGCTTTATTTTTCATGCTTTAAAATACTGCATACAGATCATTTGCCACACTATTACAGGAACAATTACATTTCTAAAATTACAAAAATAGTTATCACCTTTTAGTATTTCTATACATAAATTATATGCATTTTGGAACACTTGTAAGTGGTTAATGAACAGAAGTCACTTTTTAAAAAACATTGAACAGTAAGTAGGTCATTAAGTTACTCTTGTGTTTTATGTAGAAATTTTTAATATCCAATAAAATTGTAGGGCCTGCCCTACCTTTGCCAGCTAAAACAGTGTTATACAGCAAGCGATGTGGCACAGTCTACCTTACATTGGACTGAAAAGCCAAGCATAAATTTAGAAATATTAACATATACCTAGAATTCCAACCTTGCTCACTGCACATTCCATCTTCAACTACAATTGATTGCCCATATGTCAATGAATACCTTCTGCAAGTACACTGCTATCGAAGCTCACTCAAAATCACAAGTTGTTAAGATGAATTGTACTTGTTGCAGTCTGAGGATAAGGAAAAGGTACTTGGGGGAGTCTGATTTACCACATCCATGCTTAACCCTTTGTCCTCAAGGTATATTACATCTTGCAACTCAGTCGAATCCAGAGAGTAGCGAATACCCCTCCTTTTTTTTAATGGGGTGATCAAGCTAATGGTGGCTGTGGAATTCCTAGCTTTCTAATGAGATGGATTATGGAGACCCATGCAACTCCAGCTTTCAATGGTTTTGGAGCTGCTTATGTCACGAGACACAGGGAATAGGACTTCACTGGTTCTCCTGAACTTCTCAGCAGCTTCTGGCACCATCAACTATAGCAGTGGTGGCGAACCTATGGCACAGGTGCCAGAGGTGGCACTCAGAGCCCTCTCTGTGGGCACGTGTGCCATCGCCCCAGCCAGGCCCAGACCATCATTAAAGTGTTGAATTCTCTGCCAAATAATTTTAAGTAAATGAAAGCATTTGGGATTGCTTTCCTTACTTTGTTTGGATCATCTTAAGTTAATGTATGAGTTGTTTTTTCTAAAGTAAAACCTCAGTATTCAGGTTAAATTGCCGTGTTGGCACTTTGAGATAAATAAGTGGGTTTTGGGTCGCAGTTTGGCCACTCGGTCTCTAAAAGGTTCGCCATCACTGAACTATAGCATTTTTTTAAGTGTTGGAAGTGCCAAGCTCTGATAGTTCTGTTGCTATCTGGCCGACTGGTGCTAAAAGGTTATTCTGGGGCAGGTCTTCAGCCCTGTAACACTTGCATTAGGAAATCCTGCAGGGTTCAGTCTTGCTTCTCATACTACTTAACATCTACATGAGGTAACATGGAGAGGCTGTCAAGAGATTTGGAATGAAAAGCAATTACATTAAGACACACAAATGTATTTTTTTCTTCTTCCAACTGAGGCGAGGCATTACATGTCCTGAATAAGTATCTGATGGCAGTTACAGGCTGGAGGAAGACCAGTAAACTGAAGCTTAACCTAGAAAATATTGAGGTACTGTTGGTTGATAATATATTCAATCAGGGATTGAGAAGTCGGCCTGTTTTAAGTGGGGCTGTACTCATCCTACCACAGGGGGAAAACATCTAAACGGTGGTATTATATCAGATCTACAACTGGAGGCCTACCAGGCCACGAGATTAGATTACTACTACACACTCCAGTTGGGACTCTCTTTCAAAACTGTTTGGAATCTTCACCTGACACAGAACACAACAGCATCATTATTGGCATAAGCTACAAGGCACAAGCCACTCTATACTGACTTTCCGTTCAGTTCTGGGCACAATTTTCTTGTCTGTAAATTGACTGGGAGCAGGATACTTCAATGGCTGCCTGCTCCAATACAAGCCTGCTAATCAGCTGAGAATATCTAGAGGCTTTGCTGTATACCCCCTCAGAACAAAGAATGCTGGGTGACTCCTCTGAGCCATCTGCTTGATACTAGCTGTTAAGCTTTCTATACCACATAAATCTTTACTGTGTGGATTGTTCTGTTGACTCCCCCACCCCCATAAATCTAACTGTAGCCTGTCCTTTTTATGCCCCTTTGCTCATTTTAATATAGTAAAGGTTTGACTATTGCCAATTTTATTGTTACTGATCTATTGATGTGTTGCAGTTACTTCTTTAAAGTACGTTTTGCTTTATGGCAGGCTTATCATTGTTTTTCGTTTTTATGATTTTCTTTTTAACTGGAAACTAAAAGTTACCTCAGTAGCTGATGCACTGAGAGTACTGGGTTAAAGCACTTTAAAAAAACTACATTCCAGACTCAAGAAACAATGCAAGCGTTTCCCCCCATTTGTGACAGCAATACTTTAAACCTACCTAGAGGTCACAAATCATAAAAAAGGCATTGAAGACACACAGATAAGATGGCAATGAACAGTGTTTTGATTCTGTCCAGACAGCATTTAATATGCTATGTCGCTTTGTCCAGCTCTTTTTACCTTAAAGATATTTTCCCAATTAAAAAAAAAAAAATGGCTGTACATTGTGTAATTAGTCCACGCTTTACACAGCACATTGAAGTCTGAGAATATTGCAACGGTTTCACTTCATCAGCAGTTTATATAAACTGTATCAAAGCATGTCTGAAGTAAAAGTTCAGCAGCAATAGTCAGTTACAAATTAAAGTACAGCAATGTTAACGCCACACTCATATGCAATGCAAGTGCAGTAAAACCTCTCAAAATGTATTGTTACAGAAAAGAAGAGTAGTCTTGGAATGTTAAATTTTATAGACTGTCTAAATGCTAGTCTTTAAGAGGTCTGAAATAATCATGATTGTATTTTAATTATACCCAACTGATCTCTTACGTTAACATACTACCTAATTAACACTCTCTAAATTATTCATTTTCCATCAAAAGCACATTTAGTGGTACTACAAAGCAGTCCTAGGACTGCTGCATTTTATCCAACCAACTTCCATTCAAAGTGCAAAATGCTTCCACTACAGAATGAGAGCTGTAAGACAAGCTGATAACAGTATTTGCTTAACAGTGTAATGTCAGCTGATCAAAACAAAAGCACCTAGTGTCAAATAGTTAAACATTATATTTACAAAGCAAATTCCAGAACATTTTCCACAGTCCCAACAGCAGAAAGCAAGTATTGAATTGTGATACAGAATACAACTTTCATACAATTTTATAGAAATCCATATAGCATCTTATATGAACCCAAAAGGGGGGGGGGAAAGGTAGTTCTGGTACAGATCACTTCTGGTCAAGCAAACATGCTGTGAGTCTTACAAGGTTCTTTAAAGACTCTTGTCTTTTAAGATCAGCCACTGAAATAAAGCTGGCAGTAGAATGCGCCCGTTTAATATCATTGCAGTTCGCAGTCAAACTCTCACCTTTCTTGTCAAGTGGTTGGTTGTGTCAAACCCTTAGCAGTTCATTCATGAACTTTGTTTTCTTTCAAAGTTTAAAAGTGCTTAATTTTTATCTCCATGAGAAAAATTAACCATACTTATATTTATCCCATGAAGACAAACGGCACTTTATTATCGCTTAACTTGGGTTAACATGGTCCAGAGTTTTGAAATTGTTAGGGATCACTTTGTATTCTACTAGAACAGGCCTGTTTTATTGTACCTTAACTGGAAAAAGCAGGCACTCATACAGATGAAAATGCAGCAAACTGAAAATCACTGAAACTGTGCAATTACAAAATGCTCTCTTACCAGGTGGGATGTGACTTTGATCCACCCCTACCCAAAAAATAACCTGAATGGCATAGGAGCTGTTACAGAATGGGCCTGCTGCCTATCATTTCAGTAACAGCAGAAGGGCTCACAAAATGGGTTAGGCGAACAGTGTTGCTTAACATATAAACACAGCCAGCCCAGTGAGTAACCACCCCAGCTGGCCTGCCCACATGACGGCTTCCTTTCAACAGTTACCAGAACGGCATCAGAGGGAGCAAGTCAAGCCGTCTTAGCACCACACCAGTGACTTCCCTATTCAGTTCAGTACTAAGATAATGTCAAGTGTAATTATACTGCAGCTGTAACCAGCCTTGTGTATGTGATCTTTTAAAGGACAATAATATCCTTTTTTAGATCAACCCCCATACCAAAAGAGTGGGGGAGGGGACATGAATGAGTTTAGTTAAAAAAAAGAAAGAAAGCCTAAATTCTGACTCTTATTTTGAATTCCCATAAAGCTGTCAAGAGTCAGGTATTACCCCTGTGGCAATTAAGTGATCTTAAAACCGAAATACAAAATGTGAAGCATGTAACTACATTATGCCAATCAACAAATTTGGAAGCTATCAAATATATAAAAGTATGTTTCAGTTTTCCTTACAGTAAAGGTTGTATATATGTACTACTGGCATTGTTTTTTTTCAACATAAAATTCTATACATTATAGTTTACACTTTATCCTGCATTTGTCATTCTGCAAATATATATAGCAAGGGTATTTACATCTCCGACTACTAACAGATTGCAAGCAGATCAGACAGATTTGTGGAAATAAGGCTGTGTCAAGTTCTTCACCTGTAACGGAATCTGTAAGAAAATTCTACTACAGTGAAAACTAAACTGGTGTATAATTTGTGAAATCAAATATTAGTTTCTAATATCAGCATCTGAACAGTGGTAAGTATTCTCATTTGCAAAATGAGATGCATGGTCATAAAGAAAACAGCCTTTCAAGCAGTACCACCCTGTTTTAAGGATTCCCTCCCCACTACACCTGGCACCTTCTTTGTTCAATTTTAGGCATCAGTTAAGAATGTTTTTAGTCTCCAGGCCATTTATGACCAGGGTTTTTTTTTTTTTTTGCATGGCTGGTTTTACTTCTTTAACAGATTGCTTGGGTTTTGTTCCAACTGCATTAACTTTAAATTAGCCAAGTTTATCTATATCCTGCTATTTTTGTTTGCTGCTATAATGATTTTAAATCATAACAGTCCCTGTTTTTATTGGCTTATGTTATTCTTGTTGGTTTGAATGGACTGTTATTGGTTGTTTTATTATTGTACACTGCCTCATGAACCTTACAAGGTAGTATATAAATAATGTAAATAAAATAATGCCTTAAAACAGCTAAACATGTTTCAGTACATCACAGGTATGGGCTGTCATCTGAATGAAAGAATCATAACCAAAATAACCATTTTGTAATCAACTTGTTTTCAAAGATAATACTTGTTAGTGACCCAGTGTCTTTTATATAATTATGTGGCTGCACACTGATGCTGCGAATCCATGTAAGAAAATTGCAAGTTCACTGATCTAAGATTCATTTTCTTCCTGCACTTTGACAGAATAATTACACACTAAAAGTGGAGGAAGGAGCTCTCATTTCTGATAATATACACTTTGCTCTTTTTCTGCTCATGTCTCAAAGCCTTTAGGACAGCTAAACTATATACCCACATATCCTTTTAGGTTGTAGTACCAGTATGATCAGAAGTTCAAGCACTGATGACCCAACAGCCATTTTTCTTTCTCCATACAAGCCTTTAACTCGCTTGTTTTTATTGGGGTGGCTGGAGGACATTTAGATATTCTGTCTGTCCCTGATGATAAGTTGTGTTTCCACCACAGTCGACGTACTGGTATCTCTCCTGAGATATTTGTTCAGAATGGCCAAAGTAAGAGGTTGTCACAGTCACTCTTAAGAAGAAAAAGAGACACATGGTTTGTAAGTAGATACAAGCTCACAGTAAGCTAATTTTAAACTGTCAGTACATAAAAATAGAATGTGGTCATCCTCCTATCATGTGAAATCAGAGCTTTAGAGATGACATATTACATAGGAAAAAAGCACAAGCAAAACAGAGCAAGATAAATTTAACTGCATATTAGAAAACTCTGCTTCTCCTTTTCTGAAGAGTTCTAGGATGACACAGCTCTGGCAAACTAAGGAGGTGAGCAGGTGCATCTTTCCAATAATATTGATGCTACACAAGAGGCAGTCTCCCCGTACTCTCTGTGTCCCCCCATATTTTCCAAAAGGTTTAAAGTATGAGGGCTGAAAAATGATTGCCACTCCTCTTCCTGTGCTCAAGTCATTTGGTGGTGGGGGTGGGGGTGTTACACCAATGCCTGCCAAAGTGTACCTCTGGCAACAGTTCACGATTACATTTATTTATTTAAAACATTTTATGCCACTTTTCCGCCTGATCACAGTTCACAAGGTAGTGAACATTAAAAAAAACCCTCTAAAACATTTGAGCAATTAAAAACATTTAAAATTATAAAATAATTTGGGGCCACAACTGAGTAGGCCCTTTTCCCAGGTTGCCACCCATCTAGCTTCAGGTGGCAGGGGAAACAGAAACAGGGTCTCCGAAGATGACTGGAGTATACAGGTAGGTTCATATGGGAAGAGGTGGTCCTTAACAAATGTTGATCCCAGGCTATACAGGGCTTTAAATGTCAATACCAGCACCCCGAATTGAACCTGGAAGCAAACTGGAAGTCAGTGTATAGGGAGCAAGTCTGGAATTATATAATCCCTACAACTCACTGCAGTCAGCACGCTGGCCACAGCATTCCATACTAACTGTAGCTTCCAGACAATCTTCAAGGACTGCATGGTACTCACTGCATGACGGTTAACAAATCACTAGTAACTCTTTGCCAATATAACTACACCTTTTTTAGCCATAAGGAGTCAGACTTTAGCCTGTATTCTAGAAAGCCTGTTTTTCTAGAACTCTACATCAATGAAATTATTTGGTACATCAAAATTGTTACTGCAATTAGCACCGTCTTCCAACTCCTGGCATTATCTGACATGTTTGATAAATATTTCTTACAGAATTTTATGGACTCAAGTTTGTTGTATTTCTTAGGTTACTGATTTCCCCCATGCTATGCAAACACTTGCTTACATGTGAAGCCATTTAACTCTTCCCACCACATTCCAGTTTACACCAGTACCAATAAACCAACATCAGTGTAAAAGGCAAGAGAGATCAGCAAGGTGTTTTTAGGTTAAGTCAAAAATATATTCCATACTTACTGCATCATTACAACTATGTTATGCACTTTGATAGAGGGTAGGGTACAAAATTCACTGTAAGGAAAAAAAATAATAAACCAATGCATAAATGCTAGCAAACCAAAATGAACATGCACAATTTCTATTTCTCTTGACAGCCAAATTACACATTGCCAGGGCTGCCAACCCTGGTTTGGGGAACTAAAATTAAACTGCAGCAGCCATTTTGTTGCTGGCTGTGCCTCCCGTGGCAGCCATTTTGTGGCTGGCTGTACCTCCTGTGGCAGCCATTTTGTGGCTGCACCCACCACACTGTCAGAATTCCAGAGGTGCCCACAGACTCAGAAAGGTTGTTTCACAGGTTTCAACCCTACTATGGACTCTGCCTTCCAAAGGGGCCGTTTTCTCCAGAGGAACCAATCTCTGTGGCCTGGAGATCAGCTGTTCTCCCAGGAGCATTCCAGGCCCCACCTGGAGGTTGGCAATCCTGCATATCCATATATATATATATATATTCAAAATGAGACTGAGAATAACTTACAATATGTAGCTCATTTCATCTTGTATAATTGCAGGTACCATGTAATCAATCTGGAGGGGGGAAATTCAGAATAAGAATCTGAAGCAAATGTTTTCTGTTCCAATACTTAGCCACAGCTTCTCCTAAAAACACAGTCACATTTACCTGTTTCATATCTAGTGGTCCAATGTGAGTAATGTTGTTCAGCCGTGCTTTCCCAATAACAGTCTTTGAAAGCTGCACCTGGGCTGTAATGTTTGCAACTTCAACAGCATAGTAATTGTTGTTCGTTATGTTCAGCGTATTCTGCAGGAGAGATCATTTACACTTTTAGATGAATAAAGCTGGCAGCATCTTTAAAAAGATGCACTAATTACCAATCATGGAAGGAAACAAAGGCTAATTTAATAATGATCTTACCGTGATATTTAAATATATTACATGCTTCTGAGCTTCATAGCTGACATAGACCGATTTGACTCCGATGTATTCCACATCAATAGAGCGAGGAAATAAGAAAAATACTGCCAGCCCAGAAAGCAGTAAGCACACAATTACAGAAGCAGTCACATAAAGCTTTCTGCAGAAAATGAGGGGGTGGGAGAGAGAAAAGTTAGGTATCAATAAAATGCTCCTTTAAAAACTGGTGTGGCAGCCCCCCACATTTCCCTTGCATTTTAAGGATTTTAACAGTACAATCAGAAGGAAATCCCAGTGTTCACTGGGGCTTACTCCCAGGTTAGGGTACACAGGACTACAGTCTAATCACTTAACTTCTTGGAGATTTTTCATCCTGCCAGCTACCCCTTTCACCATGCACCCATTTTAGGGTGCACAGGGTACACTTCACTCTTCCTTAACACCTGCAAAAGGATTCAACTGAAGTGGCAAAAAGGCCTTCAAAACAGCATAGCCACCCAACGCTACAAGCAGGACAGGATGCACAGCCTCTACAGCATGGCTCTGCTCTTTCCCCAGCATAACAAAGCACCTGCACTCGTAGGACTTTGTGCCAACAGCTAGCAAGAGGGCCACTAGCAAAGCCCCCCAACTCACATCAGACGGTTTTTATTTCAGCAAAACATTTCACGTGCATGAGAGTGATACACAGAAGTCAATTCAACTGCAATACCGCATACAGAAAGGTAGTACTGTAGAACTATTATTTCTTTAAAGTACAACAAACGCTGTTTTCCAACACCCATGGGGAATGGAAGTTCCTGGTTAATCAAATGTGTCATATACTCAAGCTTATTGCTCTGCCCCAACTCTTACACAAGGGAACTGCAGCAGCCAACTCCCACCCCTTAGGAAAATCATCGCAACAGCACCTACACCTGGCAGGACCCTTCCCACTGGGCCACGGAGCCCATCCTATGCAGCAGCAGTCAAGCGGCCCAGCTGTGCTGGAGCCCTCTGGAAGACCTGCCTCTTTACAGCTCAGGTAGGCCAAGGGGGAAGGAGATACCCAACATCAACTGACAGCACTGGGCTTTTAGAAGCCCAGCAAATGTTTATGTATGTCAAGCTGGCTGACTGGAGAGGTGCAAGAGGGACACAAGCACACTCCAAGATGCAGGGGTATGGTGGCTGAGGGGAGGAGCTTGCCCTCTGGGAGATGCTGGTCAGCTCAGCATTCTGAATGATTGATTTACTAGTAGCAAAGCCCATTGTAAAAGGCATACAACAAGCTGTAGAAAGATCGCGGCCTCGCCCTCCTCCTTGGCTGTCTTCTCCTGCACGGTGCCGGCCTCCGTCTGCTCGCAGTCCACCCGGCCACCTGCACTGGGCCGATGATGCCCGCTGCGGGGATGCCATGGTCAGCCTCGGCCTTCTCACCCTCCGCCAGCCATAGCGTCCGGCCCATCCTTTGCCTCCCTGCACAGTGAAGCCGAGATGCTGGGCAGCGCTTCTGTGGGCTCGCAGCTCGGCCAGCTACCTGATCCCGGCTGAGGACAACCACCATGCCATCGTCAGCGTCAGCCTCCTCAGCCTCTGCCCGCCAGAGCGTCCATCGCGTCCTTCGGCTCCCAGCACACTGAGGCCAAGACGCTGGCCACCGCTTCTGTGGGCAGGACTCTGGGAACGCAGCCAATGGACTGGGACACCTTCAGAGTGACAGCTCAGGGACCCAACTGATTTGGAAGCGCATGGAACATTGTCACTCAAAAACAGAATTATATATAAGGAGAGATTTGAACACCTTTCCTCATGATTCAAGGTGGCTTACATTAATAGTTTAAAACATTTTCAGTTTAAAAGCAAAAATACAACAACAACCCCCAAATCTCTCCCCCTTATAAGATGCCTGCCAATTCAGACTCACTCAAAAGCCCTGGCAAACAGGCAGCACTTCTTGAAGACCTCCAGGGAGCCCATTCCACAGAGCCAGAGCTATGATAAAAAAGGCCTGGGTTCTGGTTGAGGCCAGACAGGCCATTCTAAGTGGTGGAATAGCCAACAGATGGCTGCCTGATGACCATAGTTGGAGCACAGGGACACAGGGAAGGAGACAGTCTTTCAAATAGGTGGGTCCCAGGTCATGAAGGGTTTTAAATGTCATAACCAAAACCTTGAACTGAACTTGGAAACAGACTGGCAGCCAATGTAGCTGTTTCAAAATGGGCAGCATTCTCAGAAGCTAGCCCCGGACACTAGCTGGGCTGCTGCATTCTGGACCAGTTGTAATTTCTGGGTTGACTTCGAGGGCAGCCCCACGTAGAGCATGTTGCAGTAATCCAACTGTGACACTATAGAAGCATAGATCAGCATGGCCAGGTCGGCTGGGTCAAGCTAACTAGAGAGTTGGCAAATAATCAAGTACCAGATAAATTTTTACTGTACCATTTTGCTGCTAGATTTTATTAGACAAGAAACTACTAATACCACACATTCCTGTTGCTAGTGTAACTTACGTCCTTCTTGGCCTCAGTCTTTGATCACTGTATGGGATCAAGGCAACCAGCTGGTTCTCTTGTCCTAAAAGATAAAAAACAGCTGTTCAGAAACTTGAGATTTCTTAATTGCAACAATAAAAATGCATAAAACTCTAGGCTAACTTAACTGAAAACATCAATATATCTAATTCTGAAACTAACCCTATAATGCAGATCAAAAAACCCCACATACTATGGCCCTGGACAGATAGGGATGGGGTCTGTAACCCTAGAGGAGCCCCCTTTGCAGAAAAATCAAACTTTAAAGGGGGGGGGGTTTTACTCAAAAACCCAACCAGGGAAGCATGTCTGTGAAAGGAAGCCATAATGCAAGGAAACAGCTCTCGGGATGCTATGGCAACTAATGGCAAAGGGGAAGAAGCTGGATGGGCAGGCAAAGAAAGTAAACAAGCTGGGGGGGGTGTGGGGGGGAAAGAAGGTAGATGGTTGGTGCCACTGCTACCTGGCAGAAGAGAAAACAGACTGGCATAAAGGCAGTGGCCAGAACAAGCAGGAGGCAGTGCCGCTTTCGCCTGTCTCTCAGAGACACTGGCCCTGCCAAGGAGAGAAGGCTGACAGAGCAGCCGTGGCCAGGAGCAGGGGGAGAGGGAGGAGATGGTGGTGCAGCAGAAGAGGGGGACCAAGCAGTGGGGGCTGAGAAAAGGCGGCGGCGGCACTTCTTCCTCATTCTCATTTCCAGCTGCTGCCTCAGCCCCTGCCGGAGACAGAAGGTGGGCAAGCAGAAGGGGGAAGTAGCGGCTCCCCACCCCAACTCCTACACAGGTCCCTGCTTGTAGAATTCTAATTGTAAAAGACATACCCTGGATTAAATGCAAGAATCCTCTTGTGCAACAAATCTATCAAGAAGCAAGTTCTTGGGAAACGCTACGCAACAGCCATTTGGGTCAGTACACCACACATTTCAAGTAATCATTCGAAGAGGCAAGGCCACATTGAACTGAATACCATACCGGTACAGAATTAGAAGGTAAATAATTTCTCGTTGGCAATCCTCATTCACCATGACTTAAATCAGGGCAGTGATCAATGTTCCCTCTAAGCTGTGGAGTCTTGTGAGCAAAAAATTCTACTTTGTAAGCTATTGGCATTAAAATTGTGAGCAAGTGATTGGGCTACTGCATAAATTAGTTTGCTCTGGAGCCATCCTTCCTGAGCTAAGACAAAAATGTGTGAGCCAGAGGCTAAAAAACTGTGAGCTAGCTCACACTAACTCAGCTTAGAGGGAACACTGGCAGTGATTATCATCTTTTTAATTAGGGGTTCCTGCCTTCTTTCCTTGAGCTACAGTATTAAGAAATGCAACCGGTGCCATTACTCTCAAATGCAGCTTCATGAGCAAAGTGGCCCAAATCTTACCACAGTGCAGCAGTCCAAGGATAAAGGACTGTTACAGTGTTCATACAATTATTATTTTTTTAGTGAAGAGGAGGCTCTAACAGCAAATGTAACTGCAGATTTTGATTGACTACAGACTGGCTTGCAGTTTTCTCAAGCAAAAGTAAAAGAAGTAGTAATTCTCTGGCCTGCCACAGTTAGCGTTGCTGAGGCGCCAAAAGAAAGGAGCTATACACTATACACTGAAAACAGCATATGTTAATATCAGGTTGGAGAGTCAGACTAAGATTTAGGGATTCCAGGCTAAAATTCACACTTTGCCATGGAAGCTCACTGACTGACCTTGTGCCAGTCACATATTCCCAGCCTGAACTACCTCACAGGGCTGTTGTGAGGTTAAAATGGAAGATAGGAGAACACTTTGTATCCCTATCCCAATTGGGGAGAAAGGTGACCATTTTATTGTATTTTGTTATGTTGTTCTAACCCACCCTGAGCCTTGCGATGCAGGGGAGGGCAGGAGAGAAATCAAATAAATAAATTTGTATACTGGACTTCTCACTGTTTGCATAATTAAATATGACAACATACAAAACAGACACAATTAATACTAAATAAACCAAATCACTATTTTGGAGGCTTAAGTGGGCTTGATATTACTTGGAATAACTGTATCGGTATATTTATGGGGTTTGCAAAAAAAAATAATCTGTGCAAGTTCGTGGACAGAATGAACTATGCTGTCAGAGTGAGAGAATGACCTCACTACTACTTGTAACAAAGTTTGAGTCCAGGGGCACCTTTAAGACCAACAAAGTTTAATTTTGGGTATAAGCTTTTGTGTGCCTGCACACTTCTTTAAAGGTGCCCCTGGACTCAAACTCTGTTCTATTGCTTCAGACCAACATGGCTACCCACCTGAATCTAGCTACTACTTCTGCTTTTACACAGAGCCTTGAAGGAATACCCTGAAAAGGCTAATACAACCATCAATGCTTTGAACCAATAATCTGGACAATCTACTGCTGTTGTTCTGGGAGAGAAAAAGCCTTCTTTATTCATATCATTTCTTTCCAAAACCTGTTTGAGGCAGCTAAGAAGCACCGTTTGTTGGATATTGTAATACTGCATGCAAGAGGATCTGGGAGGGAAAGGGTTAAGAGAGTTCTCTCGCTCCGGTACACTTGGCAATTGGCCCCCACCCTCTCTCATCGGTTAGATGTTGACCCTCTTTGGCCCCTGCTTGCCTTCTGTGTTTCATCCTATATAGGACCTCTCTCCTTCTTCTCTCTCGTACATGGGCTTGGAGCTGTATCAAGTTAACCTTTTTTGAAGTTAATCTGCTCACAATAAGTTAAATGTATCTACATGAATATGTCATGTAAGATGTGCTTCTATTTTTATAAGTAAAATTTATTTCTCTTTTTTATAACATACTTATTTTTATAAGTAAAATTTATTTCTCTAGTTTTTTATAACTTATACTTATTTTTATAAGTAAAATTTATTTCAGCAGAATGGCACTGCTGAAAGGAAACAGATTTTTACTGGAGACGAGCAAATGCACGCTCATGGATGCAGGCCTACTCAATAAATGGTAGGGTGAAGCCATCCGGACTGCAAACTATCTCCAGAACAGAGTGCCCACAAAAGGGAACACGCATACACCTTACCAAATAAGATCTGGCAAGGTGCCAGACATGGGACACATTATAAAGTATTTGGCAACAAGGCCTTTGATCAGGACTTTGATGAAACCTTTGCACTGGTGGAGAAACAGTACAATCAGATTACTTTTGAGCACAGGAGCATCCAAGAAGATGCAGGTCAAACATCTAGATGTAAAGACCACATTTCTTCATGGGGAGATCCAGGAAGATCTGTACATGGAACTGCCAGAAGGTTTTACAGACCCCAAGCAACCAAATTTAGTCTGCAAACTGCGAAAGGGGCTGTATGGACTGAACAGACAGCACATGCCTGGAATAAAAAAATTACATGCATTGCTCATACCACAAGGTTTCAAGCAAGAAGAAGTGGATTCATGTCTGTACACTAAACATAAAGATGGATGTTGTACTTTTATTCTCAAATACGTTGCTGACTTGATTCTAGGTTATGACAGGCAAATGGACGATAACACTGTGGTAAAGTGCCTAAACAGAGAAGTAGAAATCAAGGGGCTAGGAGATGTTTCTTACTACCTGGGCATACGAATTGAAAAGGAGGAAGATGGTTCATTTCTCCTAAACCACAGAGAGAAGATAATATGCCAACACAGATGCAACACTTCTGGAAATTGACTTTCTTAAGAACACCATAATAAGTGAGCCTTTACCTGAAGACAATCAGTACAGAACCACCACAGGAAAACCTCTATACCTAAGCACCACTAGCAGACCTGATATTGCAACCAGTGTTGGGATCGTTAGCAGAAAGACAAAACACCAAGCAAGAAGCAGTAGGTTGCAGTGAAAAGGGCGGCTAGATATCTAAAAGGGACTTTAGATTTGAAACTAAAATTGCCATCCACTAGTAATCCAAAGCTAGTTGGTTACATGGATGCTGACTGGGCAGGAGACAGCTTAGACTACAAATCCACAAGTGGGTACTTGTTCCTGTATGGAGGTGGACCAATCTCCTAGGCCAGAAGAAAGCAAACTACAGTAAGTTTGTCTTCCACAGAGTGAATATATGGCATCTGCTGAAGCATGCAGAGAACTGTTGTGACTACACCAGTTACTAAAGGAATTTGGAGTCAATGAGCAAAAGCCAATTCAACTTAAAGACAACCAGAATTGCATTCAGATTTATCAATCAGAAAAAAATGGCTGCACGCACCAAGCACATTGGCGTGAAGTTTCACTTAGTGTATGACCTAATTGAGAAGGGCATAATAGGGAGGGAGTATTGATCAACAGAAGAGATGGTGGCCGACATCATGGCCAAGCCTCTATCAAGAGTCAGATTTTAAAAACTATGAGATAAGCTGAAACTCGAAAACTCTTGCATGCAACGTTAAGAAGCGGTGTTGGATATTATAACTCTACATGCAAGAGGATCTGGGAGGGAAAGGGTTAAGAGAATTCTCTCACTCAGGTACACCTGGCAGTTGGCTCCACCCTCTCATTGGTTAGATGTTGAGCCTCTTTAGCCATTGCTTACTTCCTGTTTTTCATCTTATATAGGACCTCTCTCTTTCTCTCTCTTACATGGGCTTGAAGCTGTAGCAAGTTATCCTTCTTGAAATTAATCTCTTCACAATAAGTTAAAATGTCATGTAAGATGTGCTTCTATTTTTGTAAGTAAAGATTTATTTCTCTTGTTACCACTGGAGTCAAATCATCTTTGTAATTGTTTGAACAGTATTTCCCCCTTAACGATGTGCAGGATTGGGACACTGTGTAAAGCTTCTGTTCTTCCGAGGCCAAATGATATATATATATTTTACATTTAACCCAATAGACTGTTGATGGGGGAAAAGAGAAAATTGGAGGGGGGGGGCTGGACTGGGAAGCACAGTGGAAACAGAAGACCAAAAGGGGGTGGTGGGAGACTTGGACAAAAGAATGACTAAAGGATGAAGATGCAGAAATCTGAGGAAAGGACAGCCACAGTTAGGAGAAAGTTACTAGGATAAAAACCTATGGAAGCGTCATTCCTCTTAGCAACAAGAATCTGATGAGCCATGTGCTGTTAGTGGATCGTGGATGAGCAGGTAATGGAACTGGCAAGGTGCAGAAACAGCAGAACAAGGAGGCAGAGGCAACAGGTGTTTGTGAATGCCCGCTAAATACTGATTTGAAATAGCCAGTCAAGTCACTCACTGCTACAGACTTTGAGCAGCTTTTAATTTGTGCACTCTGCTTACACAGCATTTGGCTAAGACCCAGGAAAACTGGCTGGATGTTTGGAAGGCAAGACACAGGACTAGGGCTGCCAGATCCAACTGTTCTGCCAGCGGGGGGTGGGAGGGAGCATTCCGGGAGTGGGGGGGTGACATCGCCAGCTTGATGATGTCACATGGAAATGACGTCATCATGCTGCAGATGTTACGTGGCAATGCTTCAGCATTTTGGCCAGAACTCTATGGTTACGATGGAGTTTTGACCAAAATGCTAGAGCGTCACCATGCAACATTCTGGCGTGATGATGTCACTTCTGTGTGACATCGCTGGTGATATTGACATGTGATGTACCTATCTGGGGGTGGGGCTTCCTCTGCCAGCCAGCTAGCTGGTGGCAGTCTGAAGCCCCGAAAATCGGGGGAACCCCTGCCCAGATCGGGCATCTGGCAATGCTACACAGGACACTTGCAATGCAATCCTGGAGTCAGTGGGCATAGAAAGGTGTATCTTTGCTTAGGATAGCTCAGTTAGCATACTGTGGTGAACAGAATGTTGAATTTGGACCATGAAGACCTGGAATCAAATCCCTGCTCAGCCAGGAATTTTTCCAAGTGACCCAAGGCCAGTCATTACCTCTCTAGGCCTAACCTACTTCCCAAAATTGCTATGAAGATAAAATTGAAGGGAGTAGGACAGGAAGGTACCATGAGTGCCCCCTGAGAACTACAAATTGTTTTATTAATTACATTTGGTGAGCATTCACGTTAGGCCCAATTGGCCACAGCAGATCTATAACTGAAATAACCTCTACAATGCATTACAAAGGAAAAACACAAAGCAAAATAAATCAAAGATAGAAGTTTTTAATTAATACTTTAGATATAAAACAGATGTAGCTCACCAGACACTTTCTAAAAGAGACTCTCATTAGAAGACAAATGAGTACTTAAAGATGAATATACTACATATTTTAAACAGTAGTCATTGGTTAAGTGACTTACGGATATCGAAACCTACCCCGTGGGATTCTCCCTGTTCCCTGACATGTGGGACATGTGACGCTATCCCTTCCTGTAAATTCAACATACGGAAATTGCGACACATCTCCACCTCTTCCATCTTCACTGTGTGATTCTGAATGCACCAGGCCATTTTTCATATTGTCAGATGAACTTCCATCTTCTCTAGATACATGTGAAGGTAACGAAAAGGATTTCCCCATGTCTGATGGGAGAAAAAGATGAACAATTTAGAACGTTAGGCATCTATTGTTGCAGGTCCTGCTACCAAGACCTATTAAACTATTTTTATCATTATTTCCAAAACAATTTTTAAAAAAGTTTGTTCGTTTCAGACAGGCATTAAGGGGGCTGTACTATCTTCAAGTAGGTAGCCATGTTGGGGGAAAAAAAACTAGGTAGTCTGCAATAGCATAACAAAGTTAAGTCTAGTAGCACTGTAGAGACTAACAAAATTTTCCAGGGTATTTGACTAGTCTGACAAAGTAAGCCTTGACTCACCAAAATAAAAATCCAAGCTGTTAGTCTCTAAGGTGCTACTAGACTCGGTTTGTTCTCCATTACTTTCTGTGATCAACAGTCAGCTGGCCAACATCATTAGTAGATTGCAAGATCAAAAAGCCCCAGCCTGGGGGATCTGCTGTCAGATATAAGTTAAATCGTTTCCAGCTATTCATTTATCCAACCCACAGCAAATTCAGATGGTTCAAGATTTTACTTTATTTGCTCTACAGCTCCCAAAGCTATGAAACTGTATTTAGGTTACATTTTAATAGCAAATAAACATGTATCATTGTTCTTTCTCTCTTATACAGCAAGGCAGAGATTCAAACTGGCATCAATAAAGAGAATGCATCTCTGCAGGAGCTTGTAAGAAGAGTTGCTTTCAGTATTTGGAGCTAAAGAAGCTCCCTCAACAAATGTAACTTGCTGAATATAAGCAAGCCAAACAAGGATCTTGTCTTTAAAACGTAACCATGGGAATATGGGACAGAGTGTTTTCTGACTATATGACTTACAAAAATGCTGTGAAAAGGCTTGGGAGGATGTGAGGAGAAGCAGAGAATTTAAAGGGAATGACAAATTTGGAATATAAACAAGTTTCCTTTGCTGTCATGGCCCCAAAGGACAAGCGTTACCTCTTGCATAATAATGCTGAAAACATCCTTGTGGAAGTAAATTTTATTGTGATGCTTCCAAGTAACATCTGATGTAAGTGTCAATGTTTAATCCTCATCCCTAACCATGATTTGTTAACCCCAGCTAGTATCCCAAACATACAGGAAAACCATGATTTAGTTAGCCAAACTAAGCTTTGGCCAGAAAGACATGCATGAGAAAGGCATCCATGAGGCAAGGCCTGCCTTGCCCTTCCACGCTCTATTAGCGAGGTGATAGAAAGATCGCCTTAGCCATGGCCAGCTAGGTGCAGATGTAACTCAAACCCTGGTTTCACATCTTGGTTTGCAGCGAATCCTAATACACAGTTAACTTAGCCAGCTCATGAGAGGGAGGGCAGGAAGGGTTGCCTCAGTGCTTAGTTCTTGTGGCCCTTTCTTACACGCCCAGGGAAATGTTGATCACCCCTTTGGGTTCAGGAAACAATTTTTCTCCAGGCCAGTTTGGCTGGAGATCCTGGAGGTTTTTGGTCATCTTCTGGGCGTGGAACAGTGGTCACTGGGGGCATGGGGGGGAGGTATTTGTGAATTTCCTGCATTGCACAGAGGGTTGGACTAGATGACCTTGGAGATCCCTTCCAACTCTATGATCCTAAGTATCCAGAGACTACACTTAAGCATGATTAAGCAAAACAAACTACTGTTAAACATTATGCCTCTTCCAGGACCTAATAGGTTTAGGATCTGTGCTTTGATCTATTTCAGTAACTGTTTAGGATCATACTCTCATTATCCCTATTTAATTATTTGTCACTTACTGCTAAAAAAAAGCCTCACACAGCATAAAACAAAACAAAGGTATGTTACATTAAAATAAGCTTATTATAAATAAAACCTATCATCTATAATTAAACAGCGGTACAAAAACATGTTAAAATTTCTACAGCCAACAGTCGGCCAAATAAAACTACCTGAAATATTTTCACAGAAACAAAATGTACACCTGTTAAAACAAGATTAAACACCTAGCCACATACTGAGGGTACAGAGCAAAGAACACCACACACACAACCGTATGTGCCTGGGCAAATATCAAAATTTTCACTTAGTGCATTAAATGTAACTAGCAGTAAAGCCCGTTGTGGAAATAAATACAACGAGATCTAGAAAGAGGCTCTGGGGGAGTGCTCTGGCTTTGGGCAAACAGTGTCATTTTGCTGTGGTGACCTCAGCAGGGTGTAATGACAGAGTCCACTGTTTTCTCCAGAGGAACTGATCTCTGGTCCCTGAAGAGCAGTTGTAATTTTGAGTGATCTGTAGCCCTCACCTGGAAATTGGCAACAATTGTTACCCAGGACGAAATGGCTGGTTTGGAGGGTGGAGTCTATGGCATTCTACCTGTCTGATGTCCCACCCCTCCGCAAACCCCACCCCTCAAATCCCCAGGAATTTGCCAGCCTGGAGTTGGCAACCCCATCTCCTTCGCAGCTAACCATCAACCTACCATTATCTGCCCCTTTGACTTCAGCTGACTTCCGCCCTCCCTTCTACAGAGCAATTGTAATTTTGAGTGGTCTCCAGCCCTCACCTGGAGATTGGCAACAATGGTTCCCCATGAAGGACTGAGTGGTTTGGAGGGTGGAGTCTATGGCATTGTACCTGTCTGAGGTCCCACCCCTCCTCAAACCTCACCCTCTTCAGGCTCCATCCCTCAAATCTCCAGGAATTTCCCATCGGGAGTTGGCAACCCTATCAGGATTGGCCCCAATATGTTTTCTCCCAAAGGCCAAAGTAGGTGACTGGACCAAACTAAGTTGCCTACCATCAGGCACTGAGGGGAAAGTAGGGGTGGCTGGTTTAAGGAGGGAAATACCTGGAGTTTTGGGGGGTGGATTCTGTAGAGGGCAGCATGGGGGGG